GTGTGTGTGTGTGTGTGTGTGTGTGTGTGTGTGTGTGTGTGTGTGTGTGTGTATTTGTTGTATCAGCTCCATCCTCTCATCAGGACTTAATATTTATGCCTTCAGGACAATGAGCCTTCATCTTGAAACTGCTACTAACAGAGGAACTTTCCCTAACAGCTGTTCGAGCCAATCGTATGAGAGGCGGCAGAAACAAGTTTGGACCCATGTACAGGCGTGACCGGGCCCTCAAGCAGCAGAAACAGGCTTTGATGCAAGCAGGAAGATTCAGATTGGGAAGCAGTCCTGCTCTGAACTCAACTCAACAGGACTTTACTTTGATTGAAAACATCCACTCTGTTACCATTTTCCACAGCCTGCCACTAAATCGAGACCAACCTTCATCAGTGTCTTTGTCCCTGTTATCTGGCTCACCTGGTCTCAACCAGCACCAGTATACCTCTCCCTCCAACTGGACTATTAAGTCAGAGCACAGCAACAGCTCTGCAGATTCATCAGGCTTTCCTGCAGGATTTCTCATCAGTCCTCGTGACTCATACGCAAGACGTGTCATCGGTCCAGATCCCAGGATGCCCCAGCTCATCATGGAGTTCCTGCGGTGTGATCCAGATGAGCTGCAGCTGCAGAAGAAAATCACAGCTCTCCTCCAACAGGAGCAAACCAGCTGTCAAAACCCCCCAAACAGCTTCAGCCCAGTGTATGTGTTGGCTGATCAGCTGCTGTGCTCCATTGTGGAGTGGGCTCGCTCGTCCATCTTCTTCAAGCAACTTAAGGTCAGCAACTTCTTGTGTTTATTATTCTGGACCTAGACTTACACAGGTATGGTTTAATGAGACAGCTGTCTTAGCTGTACCAGTTTGGGAGGGTCTCCCAGGTGTCTTTGCAACAAACTCTGTGCTATTCAAGATGTTTCTGTTTCAAATGTGAACTCCAACATTTGGAATAAAAAAAGCTATTCCTTTTGTGTCTCAAGGTCAGTGACCAAATGAAGCTGCTGCACTACTGCTGGAGTGAACTTTTAGTTCTGGATATTGTCTCTAGACAAGTTCTTTATGGTAAAGAGGACAGTCTGCTCCTGGTCACTGGGCATCAGGTGAGTCATGTCAGCATCTCTATCCATTCTAAAATTAACCTGCCTAAAACTTAACCATATCTAGAGGGTATCCATACTGTGGTACGTGTGTAGTTCTGAAAAGCCTGTTAATCAGTTATCAATTGAAATCAGCTGTGTTGAAGCAGGGAAACATCTAAAACATACAGGGCAGTGTGCCTCCATAGGGTTGAAAAACACTATCCTGTTGTACACACACAATACTGTGTAAAGGTTTGTACCTACCTGGTGTCCTTGTGTACCAATTGGTTCCACCATTAGACCACTGTGTTGTGTGTAAGCCACATGCCAAGCAGTGCACATTAAGACCACCAGGCCTCATACAAACCCACAATGTGACCCTGTCAAACTCTGTCAAGTTCTGGTATAGCTGCATTTCCATTGACCATGAAAATGCGCAAATTAGAATTTCGAAAATAAATTTGCTCAATGGAAACACGTCCATTTTGAAAAAAATTATGCTTTTTTGACAAAGGGTTTTAGTGCTAGGATGAGGTGGTTTTTTTGGCCGTATCGAAATTGGCGTTTTTCAAAAAATTGCAATGGAAACACTTTTTTTGCATCACGGGAGTCACGTGATCAACAACCGGCTGTTTCTACTGGCGAAAAAGACGACAACAAAGAAGATAACAGGAAGTAGAAGTTAATTTGAGTATATGTGGTCTAATAATGTGTGCAAATCTATATATGGGCTTAAATCTAATCTAAATGTCTCTTGTAGTTACTTGTATTTTAAATTTAATCTTAATATAATTACAATCTAGTAACCAGGACAACTGCTGGTGGGCCAAATCAAATGGCTCGGCGGGCCCCACTTTGGGCACCTCTGGTCCAGAGGGACAGATGATCATCTTGACATCAGCTGATTCTTTGGTTTAGGTGGAACTGTCAAAGATAGCCTCCCATGCTGACCCTGCTTTACTTCGACTGACCCAAAGAGGGAAGGAGTTTGTGGAGAAACTTCAGATCCTGATGGTAGATCGTCAGGAGTTCGCCTGCATTAAGTTCCTGATCCTGTTTAATCCAGGTTAGTTACAAAGAAGTGGTATTCTTCTTTCAAAGTTCACACGACCTGGAAGTTCAGTTAAAATAATCTGAATCATATGAACTTTTGAACGATGCTTTTAGTTGCTGTAATACAGACAGTCTTGAAGAAACGTGAATGTAATCGCTGTAAAAAGTCTCTGATGTTTTAAATGCAACATGTTGATAGTGAGACTGTAAAAACTTTCTCAGCTCAGTTCTACACATTTTGAAATCAAACTAAATTCAAAATAGCACAAATAAGTTTTTTCCCTTATTTTAAAAAATCTCGATTTATATACACAAAATGTTTCAATGGGTGTAAAGATGTGAATAAATACATCAGTTAAAATACAAATGAAAATGCAGCTGAAACCTGCATTATACTTAATTTGTGCTTTTTTTCTCCCATTCATACAGTAAGCAGCTGTTTAATGAAGAAACAACTTTTTGAAATTGTTTTCTAAAATTAAATAATCCTACATGATCTATTTCTAATATCTCCATGAAGAACTACTGAAGTCTCTGTTAATCTAGAGCACCAATGGTCCCTAACAAATCTATCACTTTGTTTTCCTACTTTTAAAATTAGTCTGTGATAAATCTTTAATTTATGTTGAAAGCTGACCTTGAAAAGGATGAAAGGAAAGTAAGAAAGGGAAAGAAGTGTTCACCTCCTGTCCCTTGGTTGAATTTTCATCTTGCTCTCTTTCGCACATGGTCTTCACCCCTCTTACCAACACGTGTTATTGTTCACTCATTCCATGTTTTATGCATCCCTTTTGATGCAAAAATCATTAACTTTTACTTTTACATTTGGATCATAAAGTCTCCACTGGGGTCTGACATCACTGCGTTTTATGTTTACTTTGTTGAAACTGGAGAATTTACCTATACTTAGCACAAAAAGTAATTTTGTGTTTAGTAGATTGTCTTGTACCGTAACCGGTGCACAGACAGTATTGTCATTCACTGATGGTGGTTTTCTTTTTCTCTCACCGATCAGATTTTAAGGACCTTGAAGACTACAAGTTTGTAGAGTGTGTGCAGGAGCAGGTCGAAGGTGCCCTGCTGGAATACACCCTGACCACCTCACCCCAGTGCTCCGGACGTTTCACTCATCTGCTGCTGTGTCTGCCTGACCTTCGCTCCCTCAGCTCTCTGGTTGAAGACTACCTGTCCTGCAGACATCTGAGTGGCGAGGTGCCCTGCAACAACCTGCTCTATGAGATGCTCCAATCAAAGCACGGCTGGGCATGAAAAGACCTCTGTATAGGACTTTATATAGAAGCTTTAAGCTCTGAATAAGATTGAATACTATTTAGACTGTCAATGAGCTTATTCTGTGCTTTGAGACTGAAATATAGCATGAACATGTAAAATTAAATGTTAGAAATGCTAATGTAGCAGATGGATGTTTTTTTTTCAGTGATCATTGATTAATCAGAAAAGCAGCAGACTTGTTTTTAGTGTTGCTATAAAACAAGTTGATAACAACACATAAAGCTATAAACACTGTCAATATGATCATAGATGAAAGAAGTAATGAGGCACAAACTTAGAGAGGTGTTAATGAACACTGATTTACAACTTACTGAGAGCAGTACAATTCTATTATTTCCAAATTAAAATTAAAAAAATTCAATAATTGGAAGTGCAAAAAGAATCGTCATTAAAATGAGAGCAGCCAAGTCTTATTTTGTGCTGTTTCTGCCTCAAAACCCAAAAATCAACCAAAAGATAAATAGAAAATTAAAAAAATATATCTCAACACAGAAATAAAATAACTTTGAGTTTGGAGCTGCTGCTAAAACTCTATGTTTGAAATTTTGCTTCTAGACATGTTCAGTTAATATTCCCTGCTTAGAATAGGAAAATGTCACTTCCTGTGGTAAACTAATACACTCTACAAAAAGAAAAAAATTGTATAGGTCTTCTGGACGGGTTCTTCTCTAATGAAACGTTTCGTCTCTCCTCCAAGAGACTTCTTCAGTCTGAGAGTTTCAGGCAAAATTCAGGCTTTTAAGCCCTGCCTCCATGTGACTGATACTCACATCACATGGCTATCGTTGACACCTAATTAACACCTATTGTTAACAGGGGGTGGAGTGATACTGGCAATAGCAGCACTGTAGGAGGGGGACAACTGAAAACGGAGGCCTCCACCTCTGTTTAATGATGGACGGTCTTTCTTCACAAAAATGGCTTCTTTTACTCCTCTCTCCCTGAAACTCTCAGACTGAAGAAGTCTCTTGGAGGAGAGACGAAACGTTTCATTAGAGAAGAACCCGTCCAGAAGACCTATACAATTTTTTTCTTTTTGATTTTTTACCTGGATTACTGAGATGCATCAGGACATAATGCACTCTACCCACAAGTATCACTTAAGTTGTCATGGCTTCTCTTTATTTGCTCATAGTTTTGTTTTCTTAATCGTCTTCTCCTTTTTTCCAATGAATAATAAATTTAAAGGTAATAATGAGTAAATGCTGTTTAATTGTTGATTTTTTATTGTTTTGTCTAAATGAGTAAATGTGATTTACCTCTCTGTAGTTGAAATAACTTGTAAGACTGCTCTCTTCTAACTTAAAGATTTATGTTAAAGTCACTCAAACACATGCTGATGATCTGTACTGTGGTTTATTACACAATAAAAAAGAGGTGTAAATCAACGCAACATCTCAAAAACACTAACAGCCTTTCCTTGTTTTGTTTTTTTTTTTAATATAATTTGTTTGAATTTTAGTGAGTGCAGATTTTTGAACAATATTTTAAAAGTATTTGACATTTGGATTATTTGTATTGTCAAATATTCGTTCCCGTAACAGGAAATGAGCTGTAAATTTCAGCAGCATTATTTTCATTTAAAGATCTTTTACAGCTCATCTGTGGCCAGGTCACAGAGACAACAGGTCCAGGAGAGAAACTCAGACATCTCTCTCCCCAACAAAACTATCCCAACTCCTTTTGTGGCATCAGTGTTCCCAGATCAGATGGGGTATTTTATTCCTCTAGTGCAGGGGTGCCCAAACATTTTCCCTGAGAGGGCCAAAATTAAAATCCATCTGAGGGCCGCGGGCCAGATGTAATAATATAAGAAATGCAAATACTTAAGTAAAGTTGTTTTATTTTTATGATTAAGCTAGCAGCCAGTGTGGCTGCCTGCATTCTTTAGTTTTTTTTCCAGAAAATTAAACTTATGCTCAGGCAGCAAAGGCTCATGGGACTTTTCATAATTTAAAATTTGAGCATATGGTTTTGTAAGGTGTGCAAATGGGCTTAAATCTAATCTAAATGTCTCTTGTAGTTACTTGTATTTTATATTTAATCTTAGCATAATTACAATCTAGTAACCAGGACAACTGCTGGTGGGCCAATTCAAATGGCTCGGCCCCAATTTGGGCACCTCTGCTCTAGTGAGTTTTAATTCTTCCTCAGAGTCTCTTCTCAGTGGGACAGGCCTGGAAAAACCTTCAAACAGGCATAGTAATCAGACATCCAAACCACTTCAATGAGTCCTTTTGATGCAGAGGATCAGCTGTACTCTGAGCTCCCCCTGGACCATGGAGCACCTCACTCTATCTCTAAGAGTCCTGTGAAGGAAGCGTATTTCAGCTGCTTGTATCTGGGATTTTTTTTTTGTTTTGTTTGTTTTTTGTCATGATCCATAGGAGCGCCACCAGGAATTTTGGGGCCTATTATGAAAAATCAGATTGGGCCCCCTCTGTGTCACTGCTGTCACCACATGTTTAATTTACATGACCCATCAAAAGCTTTACATAACTATCTTTACAGGCTTGCAACTGTCTCGCTCCCTTTGGTCCAATGGTACTAGCACAACATTAATTTTTTACTTAGTGAATTGCGCATGCAGTCTGCATACAGTATGCAGGTCACTATTTAAATTACCTACTGCTTAGTATCACCACCACTTGATCACATGCAATAGATACATGTTTTGTGTGTGTGTGTGTGTGTGTGTGTGTGTGTGTGTGTGTGTGTGTGTGTGTGTGTGTGTGTGTGTGTGT